TATTATCAACACTTCCTATTCCACTTAATAAATAACCTCCATATGGTAATAATTGAACAGCATAATACTCAATTAATGGATTCGTTTGAATCTTCAATGGTTTAAAATTATATGCGGTTCCACATGAAAGAAAATCAAATTTAAAATAAATGGTTTCTTTAACCGCACCAATTTTATATTCGCCTGTTACTATACATACTTGCCCAATTCCTACATAAGAAACATCGCAATTAATGTCAGTAAACTTTAAACCATGGATTGTAGTTTGATAAAGAACAGCTGGTTCTCGTTCAGTCTCTTTGTCGTACTCTAAGATTAATATGTATAATCCTTCCTGAGGAATAATAGAAGTAACTTCGGAATCCGTGGAATTTGCGTAGACAATTGCGTATCTACCATCCACCATTGGAATGGCAGTTAACATAAGGCTAAGAGAATCTTTAGTATTTAAGATATCTTGCACAAGAAATAAGATATTTCCGTCTCCAGTTCTTTATCAAAAAATAAATAAAATATTGTAAATTATTTTTCATAATTAATTTTAATTAATACTAAAATATTAATATGATACATTACACTTCGTATCGCTCGAAGCCAAAGTCAGAAGAATTTGTAATTGGTGTTACACGGAGAAACCCTTTGTAAGAATTGTAATTTACAAAAATTCTAGCTTGATCAGGTAACCATTGATTAGTGACTACATCTACATAGGTAGATTTAAATGTAGTGTTACTAAGAAAAAGGAAAGTGAATTAATAATGCTGTAAGGTTAATTATTTAATAGTAATTTGATTTATCTAACCCGTAAATATTTCCATTTAAATCAATGACCATTGCCTTTTCAATGTAAGTGAAAGGATCATTTAGATCCGCGGCCTCCGCATAAGTAACTAACAAAAATTTGCTTCTTATAGGATAAATTTTAATAGGACTCCCAATTCCATAAACTTCGTTTGTTAAACAAAAGTTAAAATCTTGAATATCTAATTTAATATCGATTGGTACAACCTTCCCATCAGGATAAATCGTGCGAAGTGACAAGTATTTATCCAACCAAAGTAAACCATCTTCAGAAGGGATCGATAAATCGGGACGAATTATGCGGAGGATTATCTTGTTATCACTGTAATTAATAATATCAAATATAGTGGGTGTACTCTTGCTGGCGTTCACAGTTGGTATGTCATAATACGTAAAAGAATTTTGCGTTGTTATTGGTAAAATAGCAAATGAAATAATTGTAAAGATCGTGAAAATAAATAAATAATCATTAAACTTCATTTTGAAAAAATTTTGAAATTATTTAAACTTCATTAAAACGATAATAGTAAATAAAAAAAAAAACTGAGACAATAATTGGGTATTTAATCTTATTCCGTTCTAATGAAGCTCCAAATTTATGTTGCTTTAAAATTGATATATTATTACTTATTTTGAAGTACAATTTTAGTTGACTTAAAATTCAATAAGATTTAACTTTTTTTGTAAAACTTACTGTTTTAGTTGCTTTATCTAGAATTTTTTTTCATATCGAGATTATCTAATCAGTACCGCATAAGATCAGATGGAAATTTGTACTCGCGTACAATGTGATCCGATTTACCAAAAAATATTATATTTTAAAAAAATAAGTTACACAAAATCCTTTTTTGTTCTTTTATAATAAAAAAAAAAAATAAAAAAATCAAAATTATTTATTTAAAAAAAGTTCTTATGTTAATGTCAGTGAACATGATTAAAAAGGTTATCACGGAAGAGATCAATGACACCTCCAACATTCGCAATATTTCATACCATGTTGACGAAGATTTTTATATTTTCTGCATCAGTTGTTTGGGGACTAAGAATCACAACTTTTCGAAAATTAATCTAATTAAGCTTATTTATTGTTTTGAAAGTCGAAATTTATTAATTTATATTGTTAAACTACTCTAATAACCAATTATATTATGCGATACAGCCTAAAATGTTTGTCAAATATATATATATTAATATATTATTTTCATTTACTGCGCAATGTTTCAAATTGTTTAAAGTCGTACGGAAAAATAGTTAAGTTTCGGAAAACACCCTAATTCCATTTGGAGAAAGTCGAGGATTTTAATGCTTAAGACAAAATTTTCGAAATTTAACCAAATTGATTTGTATTGTTAAACTTTCGTGTAAAATAGTCTAATAAAAAAGTAATGTAATTGAAGTTTTATGCATACCAATTATAACAATAGCAAAGGTTTCATATGAATATATATTATAAGAAAATACTGTATATATACAATAATTAAAGTTTCATGTAAATAGAGTATCGGACTTAGAAAGAGCTTCGGACATTATTCTAAATAATGAATAAACTTACGCGTATTTTTCTTCAAAATTAAAATTCTAACCGAATTAATTAAGTTAGACCTCAAATTTTAAATCAGGATTTTCAAAGGGGAATTCTATTTTTGAGGGGGGTAATTAAAAAATCTCGTTTAATATCAAAAATTTTGATGCGCTTTTCACCCGTTAAAATATTTGTTACCGTCGAAACTAGTTCTCCGAAACGTCGAGTCGACCCGGGTTGTTTGACCCGACTCGAATTTTTTCTCGAGTCGGGACTATCGTTTTTATGACACGAGTCCTAATTCAAAAAAAAGGGTCAGGGTCACGTTTTTGCTTGACCCGGATGATCAGGCACGCTAGACTTTTTTTTTTGTTTTACGTTACGCGACTTTAATTTGTAACATATCGACGTTACGGAAAAACTTTTTCTAGAAAACGAAAAGCATTGCGGAGTAAACAATTATAGGTAAACAAAAAAAAAAATTTATTGATTATTTAACATTAACTAATACATTTTTTTATAAAGCAACAAGTGTTCCAGTAGAACGAATTAACATGCGGAACCGATCTGATATCAACCAAAAGATATAACCTTAAAGCTAATACAACTCGCCTGTAAGTTCTTGAAATCCTGATTGAAAAAAAGGTATTAGGATTAATGCTCACAGAAAAAATAAATTTTAAAATAAATAAACTTTACATGATACTTTTTTTGTTTTCACATTAATATTACTTGAAAATTCGAGTCGCAATGATTGGATTCGGGTTCTATAATTATTAACCGGTTCGAGTTCGAATATGTAATAAACCCGATCCTTACGGAGCACTAATCGAAACTTTTGCTGCCCTCGAAACTTTCGCGTTTCTTATAAAAAATTTGGCAAAACGTTAAGTTTCGGTTTCGTATTTTCGACATCTGTCGAAACCTCAGGGATTTTCCAGGCAAAATGATTAATTATATACTACTCAAATGTTTTCTGGACAAATTGTTCACGTAAAAATTGTCTTCTCTGGCCAATTTTTCTTTATAAAAAATTAGTATATATTCGATGGGGTTCTCTAGGGGATCGTTCTTTTTATTATTATATTCAAAAACTTTCATTTTATTACGATTATTATTATTCTTTTATTCATATATAGATTATTTATTTTTTTATCTTTTGTTCTTTTGTTCTTAGTTTTAATTAATTAGCATTATTTTAACATACTATAATAAAGGAGGATCGGTATTATGGTAAAAAAAAAAAAAATTAGTGATTTTATTAGTTCGAACGGATTTTTGGGCCTTTGACCGACAAAAAAATTTCCTTTTTCTCAAAAAATCTCCTTTTTAGGCAATACGAGTAACGCCAACGACTGGCCATTATTTTATAACTTATTAAATATTCTTTTTTTTTTTTTTTTGTTTGAAAGGCGGCACAGTCAGGCACATGATGAAATTGTTTTTTGTTTTTTTTCTAATATAATGTTGATTATTTATTTAATTAATAATAAATTAACTAATTCATAATTATTGATTAATAATTTTGTTTGATTTATGATTATATTGGTTAGAGGAGATAACTTTATTTTATTATTTTACCTTTTTTTTTGATTATTAATCAAAATCTAATGGCTTTTATTTCGATTTTGGTTAGGACCGATTCCGCCATTTCAGACGAACGTGATTGCGGCACCCTTCGGCTCATCATGGCGGCGCAGTCAAGTGCGATACGAAAATTTCTTTTTATTATTGTTTATATTGTTTATTACTAACAATTCTACCCGATGATGCTCACGGTTCAAGGACAATAAGTCTCCGGTATCTTAAAAATCGCGATTACTATTAGTAATAAGAAATAAATTGAAAAAAAGTAAAAAAAAATGATAATAATAATAAAAAAGAACGGGGAGGGGGACGAATAATAAAAAATAAAAAATAATAATGAGGGAGGGGGAGGAAGACGAATAAAAAAAATTAAAATAAAAGATCGCGGTGGATAAAAAAATTAAAAACAAAAATTAAAAAAGGAATTAAAAAGATCGCGGGGGTAAAAAATATAATTAAAAAAAAAATTAAAAAATTAAAAGATAAAAATAAATAGATCGCGGGGGTAAATATAATAAAAAAAAATTAAAAAAAAATTTAAAAAATTAAAAAGATCGTGGGGGGTAAAAATATAATAAAAAAATTTAAAAAATTAAATTAAAAACAAAAAAGTTCGCAGGGGTGATAAAAGTAAAAAAAAAATTAAAATTAAAAAAAAATAAAAAGATGGGGGAAGAATAATAAAAAATATATATATATAATCAAATCTTTAAGTAAAGAGGCATTCACTGTTGACAAATCCATGATAAAAGAATATGAGAGATTAGAAACAAAAGCATCTGAACTATTAGCTTTATCTAGACACTACAAACAAATAATCAATAAATGCAATAATTCCAAATATCAATCATTTTATTTATAACTAAATATCAAAAAGGTAGAACGAATTTCGGAAACGTAGATCACCGACGTTGAAGCAATTATTAATTTTTATTAAATAATTTTACATCATACATCTAATAATAAATCCTTCTAGCTTACCTTTTCATTTGTTTATCAAAAGAACTAAAAGAGCTGAGCGCAGAACTAGACTGTATGTTTAATAATTACGACAAACTCATTAATAAATTTATTAAAAACAAATGACAAAATGAGAGTCAGAGTTGAAATATTTTTAAGGTATGAAATGAAGTCGAAATGATTTGTTAAGTAAATTAAGCTTTTTTTTAAATCGCAAAATTATCTCGGCAAAATTGATCACGTGAAAAATACTTTAGGCCAATAAAACTATGACGGTGATAGATCTCCGATTTACCACTCAATTAAGCTTAAATTTTATGACTGCATTATTGTTTGTTACAAGTTATGATTTCTCATTGTTCTCCTTTAAATCGGAACTTCAATTTTTTTTTTTTAAAAAAAAAAAATGTCAAATAAAAAATATATCGATTGGTTAGAAAAATCTATTGTAGATGAATATATCAATCATTTTGAATACTCGGAATTCCAAAATTTTCGACTAATAGGAAATGGTGCATTTGGGGAAGTTAAGTGTGCTAATTGGAAAAGTCCGGACCAACTTTTTGCTTTGAAATCTTTTAATAATAATAAAGTGACACTAAAGAAAATTGTGAAGGAGGTATAAATATATAAGTTTTTATAAAGATTTATTAATCAATAAAATTAAATTTAATTTGTGTGTACACAGATAACCTTACATAAGAGAGTAGATATTCATCCAAATATTATACGATTTTATGGACTCACCAGCGAAGAAACCAGTAAGTTTTAAAAATATAATGTAAAGATTTTAATAATAAAATTTTTTCTTTAATTGAATTTTTTTTTTTTACACAGCAGATGAAATAAAAAGATACTCTTTAGTTTTGGAATTTGCCGATAATGGCACATTAAATACATATTTAAAAGTCCATTTTGATAAACTTGATTGGGATAACAAATTTCAGCTAGCTTTGCAACTGGCAAGTGCTGTAGAATGTATTCATAATTGTGGCATTGTTCATCGTGATCTGGTAAATAATTAACTTTTGTAATTTTAGTTCTTTTAGTAATTAATATTTAATGAAATTTAATGAAAATTTAGCATGCGAGTAATATACTCGTACATCAAAATTCAATTAAATTAGCAGACTTTGGTTTATCAAGAAAGCTCGCTGACGCGTCAAGTAATGAACCAAAGCTAATGGGTGTATTACCATATATGGATCCGAAAAGTTTAAATTATCGAGAAAATAAGGGATACAAATTAAATCATAAGTCCGATGTCTATAGTATAGGAGTTTTGATGTGGCAAATTTCAAGTGGAAAAAGACCATTTTGTGATGAAGATACTGATTATGATGTGAAATTATTGACCTTAAGAATACTTGATAAAGAAAGAGAAACAATCATCAGTGGAACTCCTATTGAATATAGTAATTTATATGAACGTATGTAATTTTATAATTATTTCATTTTTTTGTTCTTTTTAAACAAAAGAATACTTAATTTTGTTTATTAATTTAATTAGAATGTTGGAAATATGAACCAGATGAACGTCCAAGTATACAGGATGTTGTTTCAACTCTTAAAACGATTAATTCTTCAAAACAAAGTGAGGAGGTAGATTCATTGAATCAACCATCTGTTCATTCGGATAAAAGTGATTCTATAATTAATAATTTATCAAGTCAAATTGCAAATTGGGACCAAAAAAGTCAAAAATCTGGAGAAAATAGTCTTACATTTTGGTACCAAAATGCAACAGAAAATAATGATAAACATGCACAATGTAAACTTGCATTATTATATGAAAATGGTAGTAAAGGAATAGAAAAAAATTTAAAAAAAGCTCTTTATTGGTTTAATAAAGCAGCAGAAAACGGAGTTGTTGAAGCTCAACTTAATCTTGCATATTTATATTATAATGGTGAAGAAACAACAAAAAATTTAGAAACAGCAATAGAGTGGTTTATAAAAGCAGCGGAAAACTGTAGTATCGAAGCACAATATATTCTTTCGGTTTTATATTATAATGGTAAAGGAACAGAAAAAAACTTAAAAAGGGCTCTTTATTGGTATCAAGAAGCAATAGAAAATTCACAAAACGGGTTGGATTACCTATTTAAAAAAAGTGAAGAAATAAAAAAAAATTTAAAAAATGCAATAAATCATTTACAAAAACTAGAAAAAAATAACATTGTAACACAATCTACATTTGAACCTATAATGGAATCTGTAGTTGAATTAAATGATAATGTTTGTAATGTTTGTAACAGATGTTTTAAGAGAAGAAAACCTTTAAAAGTAAATCACAATATTTGCATGATTTGTTATAAATCAGATTTATTATATAAACCAAGTGGTAACGAAATCATTGATGAATTTATTAAGTTTACACAAATTAATTCTGTTCAAGAAACTAGTAGAATGATATTTGTTCCCTATAATCAATTTAAAAATATAGAATTTATATGTCAAGGAACATTTAGTAAAGTTTATAAGGCCGTTTGGAATAAAGGACCGCCTTATTGGAATGAAGAAAAAGATGAGTTTCAATATCATGATCCTAATATGGCAGTTGCTTTAAAGCAGCTTAATAAGTCAAAAATCATTACCATTAAAGAATTAAATGAGGTATGTTATTTAACCTAATAATAATATTGTAATACTTTTAATATTAATACATGTTTTATAATATTAGCTTAAAGTGCTTTATAAAACTGATTTAAATGACGAATACCTGGGTTCCCTGCTTTACCTAAATAGATGCTATGGAATTACTCAAGAACCTGTTTCCGAAGATTTTATAATAATCATGAACTATTATAAATATGATTTAAGAAATTATATAGCTAAAGATTTTTATAATATAGAATGGAATCAAAAGTTAAAAATATTGAAGCATATTATAAAGGGTCTTTATTATCTTCACTGTCAAGAAATTATTCATCGAGAACTTCATAGCGGAAATATTCTTTTTGAAAATAAATATGATATTGTAATAAATGATTTAGGAATTACTAAATTACCAACTGAATCTCTAAAAAATGATAATAAATATTATGGTATTATTCCTTATTATGTTGCACCTGAGGTATTTCAAGGACAAATGAATACTAAAGCTTCAGATATATATAGCTTTAGTATGATTATGTGGGAATTAATGGCAGGCAGAATACCTTTTTGGAATCGAGATCATGTTACAGATCTTATTAATGATATTGCTCATGGGTTACGTCCTCCTATTATTACAAATGCACCTGAGGATTATATTAAATTGATGCATGAATGTTGGAATTCTGATCCAAATAATAGGCCAACTGCTGATAATATTCATAAAATTATTAGTAAAATTATTTTGAATGAAGAAAAGAATCCAACCAAAATAATAAAATCACTAGATATTGGACCTATACCGACAAATAATACACATAGTATAGGTTATTCAGAATTTTCAAGTAGTTCGATAAGTCTCAGTAAGTCTTACCATTTTATAATAATTATTTTGTAATAAAAGGCAAATCTTGAAATAAATAGTGATAAATTTAAATATATTTATATATTTTTTTTATAATATTATTAATATTATTAATATTATTCTAGGTGAAAGGAATGGACAAGATAGCGAAAATATAGGTAAATTGAAGGAATTGTATTTTAATATTTTAATAAATTCATAAACTAATTAGTTTATTTTATAGGCTATCATTCCAAGGAATTGGAATTGGATATTTAGCTAAAAGTAAGTACATTATTGTTGCATTCAATTCTTTACGTTTGTATTTATAATCAAGGAAAAATGTAAGCAGAAGGTTTTATAACAATTATGATTCAATAAATATTAATTTATCAAACATCGGCGCCGAAATTCCGTTTTATTTAAATGTTAATTAATTCAACCGCGAACAAAAGAAAATAAATAAATAAAATAACGGAGAATAAAATAAAAAAAATGACAAAGGGAGAAATAAATTGTGTGTGTAATAAAAACAAAGAAAAACGATCCTGCCTAATTTCCGAAGAGAAACCCGTCGTATATTTTTGTGCTGTATATTCATTTAATATTCGGAAAGATATTGTTTTTATTTATTAATGTCTCTTTGTAGAGAAGTATATTATTGTCAAGCTGTCTAATTCTAGTCAGTATTATAATTGTCCTAAGCTAAATTTAATATATCATTGTCACTTGAATAATCAAAACGTATTTATTCATATTTATCTATTTGACAAGATAATTATCCTTTTACGCGCAATGTTTATTATTCTACTTATATTTAATATCAAACGTATATGTGACATTAAAAAAAAGGAGCAGGAACTTAACTTCTATAGTATTTAGTAACTCAAACAATTTATTACGAGTACAATGCTTTAAAGCTTATATGTTAACTACCAGCGCGAAGAACACTATATTTCTATGCACTATCGCTATGGAATATTGTGGTCATAATTAAATAAAGTCATTCTATGACCACGTGTAATCAATTTTGACGTCAAGTTTGCTCCGAACTCATATCGTTTCCATTTCTAAGTTTAAAACAAAAATATATATAATTAATATTATATTATCGTTATGCAATAACTTTATGGATTTTCATAATTTTGTTAAAGACTTTTAAATAAACAATTGTTAATACTTAGAATTGATAAGAATATGATTTAGAATGGCAATATTCGAGAATTGGATTAAAGGTCGTTCGACCAAAAAAAAAAAAAAAAGAAAATTATTTTAAAATGATATCTGCTTATAGCATTGCTAACATATAAATTAGGAGCGATCACGCTTTTTCAGCACATGGATGAGTTTGTGTAAGCATTATTAGAATACAAAATTTGTACAAACTTTTGACCAAGCATATTGCATATTGAATATATTGAATGAATAATATACTACAAAATATTCAAAGCGAGAAAAGAGAGAGAATACGCTTTTAATGTTTTTTGTATGTATTTTGTTTTCAAAGTCTATTAATAAATAATTGATTTTGATGGAATTGTTGAATTGGGAACTGGACATATAATATTACAAAGCAGAGTTTAATCAAATAATCAGAAAACTCCGTTGTAAATCAAAAATTTTAAATTATACAAAGTTGACTTATTGCAAACATTATAACTATTAGTGTAATATAAAGTTCGTTCTATAAGCTTACATGGAATGTTATAGAATCGTATACATTTTATCAATATATTGTTACACTGGATATAATTTCGCCCGAAAACTTCATAATTCCGCATGAAATTCGCTTTCGATATTTGCAGTTCTTTTGAAGATCATTTGCCAGGCCGGGCTGTCAAGGACAAAATGTCAAGACACCAGGTTGGCCATAATAATTTTTTTTATAAATACGAGCCGGAAATCCTTAAACAACTTAACATTTCACGCTCGCCCTTATTATATTTTGCATACATACACCTTGAAATCCTTCCTTTAACCCTTCACGATATTTTTGCTTTCGACGTTTTAACATTTTAGTTTTCGTATTTGTTATTTCGTTAATTTTTAATTCCGATTTTTTTTTTGTAATGTTTGTAATTGCGTAGTTTAAATTAATTAGAGTTTATTGATTGTCATTTACTTAATTTAATATATTGACGATGCGAAGTGTAGAGCGCCGACGTCTAAAATAAAAATAATATATATATATATTTTTAATAAAAAAAATTTTTAGAAACAAATTTAATACTTCGTACTTCGTAAAATCTACAAATATATATTAACTTTAATGATTTGAATTGTTAATTATAATGTCATAATTAATTAATTCTTTATTTAAATCTCTACAAAATAAGGTTGCGGGGCAAAACCCTAAATCGATTTAGGCAAAAGTCGACGGGTTTCGACGGGTTTCGATGGATTTTGACGGATTTTGACGAATTTCGATAATTTTCCATTTTACCAAATTCACTAGTTTTCCAAATTAATAGAAGTCCGACTTATAACATGTCGAAAATCAATAATGGTTTGACTTTGAATTTCAATATAGGGAGATATATGGAAGCTGTTCTTAAATTCTGGACTAGTTGAAATAAATTTATGTAAAGTTCATAACTAAACTTTATTCGAGTAAAGTTATAATTAAAAAATCGTTTTCTTTCGTTTCTGACTAAATATTTCAAACAATTAATTTATTTTAGTTAATTAATATAAATATTTAAACTATTTTTTTTACCTTTGAAACCTGTTGTATTAGGAATGTGAAAAAGAATCGTAAAATAACAATTAAAAAAGTGGTAAACTTGATTATCGCACGGCTCCTCTATTTGACCAATATTTTTTATAATATACAATAACTAACCTTTATTGTATTTCTCGGTATTTTGTTTGCGCAAGTATCTATTGTGAATTTTCTATATTTGGGGAAAAAATCATTTAGCAATTACAAAGGTGAAATAATATATTTTGATATTGATTTTCGATGGGATTTTATAGATTTATTATAATTTCGAATGATACCGCGAAACCAAAATTTGCAAAATTTGACTGTTTTTAACATGTTGGATTGTAATACAATATAGAAGATCTTAAATAATCTTTATTCTTATTTTTTATTCAAAGATGAAGATTCAATTGAAAAAGCTTTAGTGAAATACTAAGGCGGCATATGCTGCATGATTTGCTGTATTCTAGCAAAAGAATTACAATTTCTGGATGAAAATACTGCTAAATTAGGAACATGTTTTCAGAATAATACATTATTTATGAAACAAGAAAATAATAATTAAAAAATTGGGATATAGTTGGAATTAATGAAGAACTTTAAAGATTACATATTTTTTTGCATTTTTTTCATTTTTATAATATAACGATATAAATCTAATAATAATAAAGTGTTATTTTTTTTCAAACATTAAGATGCTTATTAGTATTTATAAATTTAGTTTTATATAATAAAAATTTCAAATTAATATCAATGGTTTTAATTAGGTTTTCATCTATCAAAATTTTCCCCCCTATCACAGTCGAAACTTTTACCACCTGCCAAAAATTTTGCCACCGTCGAAACTTTCGCGGTTTTGACTTTTAAAAAAAATTTGGCAAAACGTCAAAACTAGTTTCACCCGTCGAAACCTCAGGGATTTGCCAGGCAACCTTACTACAAAAGACGCTCAATCCTGCATCGAATTACCTTATTTTCTAGATCAATGCAAAAATGATAAGGTTATGTAGAGCCGACTTGAAAGATCGCGAATCAATTTATGTTAAGGATTTTTTCTTACCTTTTATTACAGTTATCTAACTAAACATCGAAAATTCCTAAAAAAAAAAAAGATATTAAAAAACCTAACCTTCTATTCAGGTGATCTTAATAAGATGCCGTTCTTAGCTGAAATGTTTAAAGTGCCGTAAGCGTGTTAAGATTTTTATAAATTTTAAATATATTTTAAAAATAAAAAAATAACATTTCTTCTTTAATATTCAAAAGAAGCATAACATCAGATTGTGGGAATTTGCTTCGAGCGTTTCTCATCATAGGATTAGCTTCCGGAGCATATTCCTTCATGAAAAACGTTTTCGAAGTATTTCTGATTGAAAGAAATACTCCTCCTTAAGCAGTTTAATATGAATCCGAGTCATATTATTATATTATAAATCGAGCAGCACTGAAATAAATTTAGTGGGCTATGGCTTTATTGATATCAATTCATGATTACTAAAGGTTATTTATAAATTATTAATAAATGTACAATACAAAGATCAATAAAGAATTTCGTAAAAGTGATTAAAAAATAAATTCAATAACAAATATTATTGATTTACTCTAAAATTTTAAAACTTTCATCACCGATTAATCCAATAAATGGAAATAAATTGTTATATGACAAAGCAAAAGTAAAACCTTCTCTCACTCAAAGTAAACGGAAAAGGGTGTAAATTATGTATGACGGTTAGGTTTAGGTTTATAAATGTTTTTTATATTTTTTCAGAAAAATAAATTCGTTAGAACTTTGCGCGCCAAAAAATCATTTGAGTCCATATTTGATAATTGATCTACATTCCAATTTCTAAATGTAATATTTTTTCAAATACTCGTTAATCAAAAACTTTAATTCAGTCCGTCGAATCAAATTCACTTTTAATTACAATAACAACCAAACCGATATGGAGACACGAGAAAGGGTAATTCCTTTATTAAAACGGAACTCTAGATATGAAGTCATATTTGTCATCTTGGACACTATTTCGTCTGATCTTTAAATAATGTCGAACCAAAATCGTTTGTAGATTTACAATCATGTGACTTTATACGTCGTTTCTAGAATTTAGAAGATTCTTTAAAAAAAAAAATTGCGACGTTATACGATGGAAAATTGGGAATATGCATATATATGCAGAAAAAATTAATTCTGTTAACAGAAATATGAGCAAAAAAGATATTATTTTATTATACATTATATTACAAGTGATGTGATGTTATTTGAACGAATAAACGTAATTATTATTTCTTTTTTTTTTGTGCATAAATCCTATGTACTTTAACATATGTTTGATTTTCTTCCACTTCTTTAGCTATAATATCAAACATTTCTTCAAATGATGATTGTGAAATACCCATGTATTCATTCATACCAATATATGTATGAGCATTTCTGAAGATTTTGAAAGCCTGCAAAGAATGCAAAACCATTTAATAGGTTGTTCACAAAAGGAAATAATGGAAATATGTTTAGATACTTACCACTGCACCCAAATTACTTCCCCAAAGTGGAGCGATTGTTTCATTTATAATAACT